AAGTATGTCGTCCATGGAGGTGAACGTGGACATGCTGGAGCAGATGGACCTGATGGACATGTCCGACCATGAAGCTCTGGATGTGTTTCTGCACTCTGGGGGAGAGGACAACAGTGCTGCGTCGCCTGTCGCAGGTAAGTGGCCATAAGCACTCAGAAACACAACAAATACATGAGAAATTCAAGATTATACAGACAACACTTTATTGCTGAGTGTTCTAACTTAGAAATGCCTCATATGAAATAATCTGCCAATGCAGAAATCTGACTCAGAAGATTGACAGGACCAGTGTTTCAGCACGATGCATCAACACCATCTGTCCACATCTGCTTGGGAAAATGTCTTGTGACAGAGAACATCCTACAGCATCCAAGTGACAGCTTGTCCTCGTCTGGAAAATATATTGATGTCCATGATTCTGTTCCATTTTTATAACTCTGCGGGAGGCTGAGCTCCGAGCTAGATAAAAAAATGAATCATGAAGTCGGTCGAATAATCATGACGGGGTCCATCTCTTTTTTTTGAAGCTGGTCAAAACATAGAGAAAGAATAACTTATAAGTTCTCTCCAGATCACAACACATAACTCACATTTATCCAATCTCTGCCACAACGCAATTTTCTCCAGTCACTGCAGCTTTTCTGCAAAATTGACAAAAAAAAACCTTGTTACCTGTCAAGCTTTGTTAAATCATCACAAAATGCACTTCTAGTATTAAATAGCAAATTAAGTTGTTTTACATCTAAGGGTTCTACATAATTTATCTTCTTTTTGATGTCATGACAATTAATATTGATGCCTCTATATGGCCAAAAATGTATATGGACATGGATATATTTTCTTAATGCTCATGCACTTTCTATTTAATTTCCATTTTATACATTGCATTAATGTTCTAGTAACTTGCATGTGCCTCTTTATTAAAAACATGTCAGCAGCTTCTGATGAATACAAGATGCCTTTTTGTGATCATGTATCCATTGCTGCAGGATGAAAACTGTTATTACTAGCCATGGGCTAAGAGTAGCATGATGACTCAGGAATGAGTCCAGCCAATCAGAAGCTAGTTGTCTAACTTTCCTTTGAGCAAAAGGTTGTTTACAGATATGTGTGTAAGCATGGATTTTAAGAGTCAATGTAAAGTGGTTTTATACCAACCAGCAAAAAATAACTAGAAAAACAAATGTTTAAATAAATGTAATAAATAACATGTAGAATCTCCTCTGCACATAATAAGGATCATAATGCAAAATGCAAGCCCATTGGGAATTAAGCTCTCTGTGGCTATTGACTGTAATTTCATTCAGATTTTTTTCTCATCCTATTAGGCATCCTGACACAGAAAACAACAGAGACACAATGTCAGAAAGACACACAGCTTCATCAGCCAATAGATGGGTTTATTTTAGCATCCGTCCCAGTCTCTCTCAGTTGAGGTGTAATGTGTTTGTAAAAAAAAACATCAAAACATCACACCTTTGAATTGTGATTATTTATTTAATTAGCAACAATGATATGGAAAGCTTTAGAAATTGCGGAGGTACTGACTTTTTTTTTTACCCTCTTTGTTTTCAGGTCCAGATGTCGAGTCCTTCACCACAGAGATCAGTCTTCAGGTCCCCACCCAGGCAGAGCTCCGCCACAAGCTTTCCTCCCTCTCCTCCACCTGCACCGACTCTGCCAGCCAGGACACAGAGGCCGGGGAGGAGGATGACGACGAAGAGGAGGAGGAGACGGAGCAGGGAGGAGGAGGTGGAGGAGGAGGTGTAGGTGTGGGAGAGAGGAGGAGGAGAAGGCCCCCTGTGGTGGTGACCCTGGATGACGAGGAGGTGCACCCTGATACAGCGCTGGTGGACAAGACGGAGCAAGAGGAGCGGAGCAGCAAAGACTGTGGGGAGAGCAGGTCGAAGGTTTGAGGAGACAAGGACTGGATTCAAACACAAACACGCACACACACACAGAGCTGCGAAACAAATCAAAGTGACGTATAACATGATTGGCTTCCTTCAAAAACATCTAAACAATTATACACTGAGGTTGCACTAACTGCCACATGACCTTGCCTTAAAAGCCCACACATGTGAGTTTTTAATTCTAATTGAATCCTGTGAATTAGCTTTGAATTCCCTTTAGCATTTTTAGCATTAAATAGCTTAACATGAATGCTAACACTGTAGCTTTGACCATGCTAACAGGCTGCAGCAGTTAAGCATTAATATACTGTTGCATTATTGAAGTAAATTAGGGTTTTTTTCTGGTACAAATAACTTGCAAAACATGCAGGTTTATGTCAGGTTTATGTCAGGTTTATGTTTGATTTGATCATCTAACTAAAGTCTACATAAGTAAAACAAGTTTTTAATCACAAGTATGGCAGAACATCTAGTTTTGGTTAAACTAGTCCAAGTTTTAAAATCTGTCGTCAGATATATGAGCCGTTGTTGCAGTGAAATAAAAAGAAAAAGCTGTTTTGTTTAGTCCTAAAAACCTGTGCTGACTAAGCCTGGAATCACTAAGTTTTTATTTGACAAATTGGTAAGTAATTAGCATGCAGCCATTCACAAATGACTTGCTCGGCACACATGGAATACGTTTCAGTAAGGTCACAGCTTAACCCTGAATGCTTGCTGCATTTCTTTCATATCTTTATGATCAAGATTAAATACCTATAAGATAATCCTTTTCTGCCACTGGCTTTTATAAACACACGTGTCATAACTGGCAGTCACCTGGCAGTGGGTTTCAAACCACATAGTACTGTAAAGCAGAGTTCAGGTATATGGAGATCTTTGAGAGGCTGATTAGAGTGAAATCATTGAAATATATGCACATGAACAACTTCTGCACACACGCTGAGAATCAGTATGTACCACCCTCCTTCATAAACAGTGGGATAAAGGCTACTCTTGTGTTTTCATTTTTTTCTGAGTGTGCATGCTTGTAAAGCTATTTCAGTGCACCATGAAGTCGTTTCACTTTAATAGGGAGACACACCATGGGTCTGGAGTCTTTATCCAATCAGAGTTAGCCTTAGATGTGAGCCATATGTATGCATGTTATGTCTGCATTATTGAACAGCTACATTTAGTTGAGCCAATGTGTCAAAACAATCTGCTTTATTATCTACAACAAGTGTAATAGGTTTCACATGAATAAGCAGACTGAGAATAAAAGTGTATTACATTTTGAAGAAACCCCTTAAATAACAGCTCTACTATCCCTCTTTGATGGCACAATGACTCATGAAAGGAAGAAAAGCAGATCCCCCCTCTCCAGACTTGAAGTCCTGTTAATAACTGTGTAACCAAGAGTTGAGTGGGAGCGACACGTCCATCAAGAAGCGTGCAGCGCTTTACACGGGTTGGCAGAAATCTTAAAAGAAAGTGAACTCCTCTTGTCACTGGTGTTAGCTTGTTATTATCAGAAGCAACATCATGGTGGGGAAGAGAAAGAATTCTTGCATGATGTGGTTTTTCAATTTGAAATTAGCTATTAATACCTCCCTATAGATGAAGGTGTGCTGCGCTGCACGTTGTTCCTAAATCTGCTCCTGAGTGAGCGTGTGACTGATTGTCTTGTCACCACCAGCTCACAAATCTATGTTTTATTATGTTTGTAATAACTTTATTTAAAAGTTAGGATTTAACCACCTCTGTCGCACTGAAATGTAAACACAAAGAGCCTTTATCCTGCTGTGTGATGATGGCGGTGTGTGGAAAATCCCCAGTGTTTGTTCAGGTTTTCAAGGTGTGTGTGAGCACATTTACATGTTGTCACCGGTATCAGCCTCTCAAAGACATTGATTTTCCACATACACACGCATGCACATACACACAACACACACACACACACACAAACATACACACATACACACATACACAGACACAGGACGGTTACCCATTGCCATTCCTTTGACCAATAATATTTGGGTGAACTTCTCCTGGTGAGCGAGGACCAAATCCCTGTTTGGACTGCGTGCTATGCACTGGACCCCCAGAAGGTTTAACTATATCAACATGATTTTGTACAGAAATGTTGACATTCGTGCCATGTGACAGCGTTACTTCCTTCCTTCCTTCCTTCCTTTCCTTCCCGCTGCCTACAGTTTCTGACTTGTTGGTAATAAATGTTTCTCCCTAAGCATTGTTTTAATTCTCATATCCAGCATTTCAGGTACGGAGCTAAGAGAGTGAAATATGAGTAGGATTTTGGATTTGAGTATGTTAACAGTCCCTGTGCGCTCACTCTGATTTATAGTCCTGCTGCCTGAGCTCTTTAGAAATGGAAAACTGACACGGTGAGTGAATGGATAGTGTGTTCTGCAAGAGAGGAATGTGGTTTTAAATACAGGGGGAGAATATTATGCCATGTATTTATTCATTACTATAGTCAAATGTTTTTAACTGTAAATGAAGGTGAAGCAATACAAGTGTTCTATTCAGAGTAAAATGACATTTGAAGGCTGAGAGTGGATGTGTCCTTTTATTGTGAAGAGTAAATAGCGGCTGTAGATGCGTGACAGTCAGTCGACTCTGATCAAGGTTATGAAGAACTGCAAGGCTTTCTTTACATGTGTAAGTGTGAGGTGAAAGAACAGACTGTGATTAGCTCTGTGTTAAATAAACAGAAGAGCTGCTTCTAACATCTCACACCTGCTGCTTCTTGGAATTAGATCATGTTACGTTCAGGCTTTTCTCACCTTTGACCTGTGGATAGACTTCACACTTGTAAAACAGTCGTCAAAAACCTTTTTTTTTTAAATAATTCTTATACACTTGTAGTTTTTTTTAGTAATGCAGATGGTGTGGGTTTCCTTTGTTTCCCAACCTTATCCATAGAAGAGTCCAAGATGAAAATTGCACATTGCTCAAAGTCTAAATAAATTGATCTACTAAATTATTGTTATGGTAAGGTTAAATGATTATTTGCTTATTTACTCTTTTTTTTAATTACTTGACAGCTGACTTTACAAATCAGTCATTTGACAACATATTGATTCAATTTTTTTGAAATGTTGAACATTTTTCTCCCCCCAAAAAACGCTGCTAAGACCTTACGTTTTTAACGGCTTCAATAGTAATATGGTCATAATAAAGAGCTGTGGCTCAGTCAGTCGTCTCAACGGGGAGATTTGGGGTTTGATCCCTAGCTACTGCAGCAACATGTCCAATGTGTCCTTGGGCAAGACACTTAACCCCAAGTTGGGACAACCTGTTTCGTCGGCGGTGTGACCGTTTATAAATGTATTAGTGAATACTGATGGACACTTTACACAGCAGCCTCTGCCATCAGTGGGTGAATGGGTAGGTGTAACTTGCCGAGTAGTCAGAAGACAAGAAAAGAGCCATACAAGCCCAAATCCATTTACCATTTAAGAATGATAATCAGTAAAGTCTGGAGGATTATCTGTATGACTGCAGCTACCAATATTTACAAATCCTCAGACAAACCCTCTGAAACCCCCTTAAATAATGGTGGTGGCGCAGTGGTTAGTGCGCACGAATCCAGCCTGTGGCTCCTATCCCGCATGTCATTCCCCACTCTCTCCCTGATTTCTGACTCTAGCCACTGTCCTATTTCTCCATTAAAAGGCACAAAAAGCCCAAATAGAAATCTTAAAAAAATAAATAAAAATGGTAAACGTGAATCATTTTCTGTCGATTGACTTCGTATCAAAGCTCTGGGTAAGTTACCACTGGAGATCAGGGAGTTTAGATTTGGGTGAAGGCCTGCATCAATCTGAACCATTTCTCAAAGTCGGGTCAGGGTTTGCACACAAAAAGACAAGCGGGGCTGGAAAGAACTGACAGTGAATTGTCCATAAGTTTTTATTAAACCTTAAGTACAAACTGCAAAAGTAAAAAACTGTCAATATAACCAACATGAGACTCTCTTTCCGAGTGGAGGGAAAGGCCGAGATGCGGCACTAATAAATTAAGTCACCAGAGACCCCACTGTGAGCAAGTAGTTTTATACTGTAGAAAAATGGAAGAAACGACAAAACAGAGAACTGAAAAAACAAAAACAATCCCATCAGAATAAAATATATTGTAAGGCCATAAAAACTTGACAACCACTTTTTTTTAAATGTTGAAAATACCCGACTTGGTATTTCATTAAATAGTCCTAAAACAGTTCAGTCTTCTGTGAGGGACGACAACCAACAAACTGGATTATAGGATTTTTCCTTGACAGTCACCACTGGCAAGCTCAGTGCAACATGAGTAGCTACTACATTTTTGTTGAATTTTCAGTAATGAAAATGTAAAAACCCACTTTTTTTTGTGAACATCTCTTTTTTTCCCTTTTCTTTAAAAAAGTAAAGCTAAACAAACAGAACTTAGTTTGGGGGGCAGTCGTTGGCTACTCAATATCTTCTTTCTTAGTGATATAAGCAGCACTTAAAATTTTTATACACGTTTACCAGAGTGACCCTGTAAGCGTCAAACTAACATGGATGAAGAAAGGGAAATGTAAGGCTTTTTCTTCATCGAGCACCCTCTCATCGTTTCTCTCTTTGTTCCTTCCTTTATTCCTTTATTCCTTATCCCCAGAATCAGGCTCAAGTATTTAAAGAAATTTACAGGATTATTTACAAAAAAAGTTGATGTTTCGTTTGCGTTGGACTTTTTTCCTGTCTCTAAAAAAAAAAAAAAAAAAAAAAAAGCACTCATAATATATCTGGAAAAGGGAAAAAAATGCAAAAGCCAAAAAAACAAGGGACAATTTAAAGAAACAAAACTTGGATTTGATATTTCACATTTTACACTCTTTGACTAGTGGCTCTACTTGAGAAAACACATCAGATCAACAAAAGTAAAAAAAAAAAAAAAACAACACAAAATAATAATAATAATATAATATAATAATTAATGTTTACTGGTACAGATGAAACAAGAGGACTGGAAGAATGGAATGTTAACACGATTGCACATCTAGAACCAGAAAAGCCCGACAGCCTTTCTGCCCTGTGGGGTGGGGGTGCACCAGCTAGCCGTTAGCCACTGGCAGGTACTAACCCCCAAGATTTTAATTTTTTTTTTTTGTGTTGTTATACAGTAATAACCAACAGCACCAATAAAATGGATCTCCTCGCTAAGTATCAGGCACGGTTTTCACTCGCTAGCGAAGGAGGGATCCCTCCATACTAACAGGATGTGAGGTAAGCAGTGACCTATCACAGGCCAAGCTGCTGTGGCTCCGCCCCTCTCACATCCATTGACAAAAAGAAACATCCACAATGACAAAATAAAAAACAAAAAAAATACTATCAAAAAACAAAGCTAAAATTCAAAGTAGGACTTGGAAAAACATAGTCAACCAACAAAAAACCAACATCGTCTGTCTTTCAAGTTTTTACCTCGCATCACCGACCCCCCCTCTACAAAGAAAATGCAGTAGCTGCATCAAGAAAGAATAAAATCAATTTAAAAAAAGGACTCCTCTTCCTCAAAGCAAGGACAGGGAGAAACTTTGGGTAACTACTTGATGTCAGTTTCATTTAAGAAGAACCAGGGGAGGAAAAAAAAAAAGGGCCTCCTTTTCATTAGTCCTGTGTTCACAGCTGAGTGACGTGTGATGAGGAGGGGGCGGGGTTCAGTCTCCAGGGTGGGCCAGATGTGGGGAGGATAGCGTGATGCAACAAGAAGGTAACAAGTGTAACCCATTTCAGTGTGAAGAGGATACGGGCGGAAGTCGAGGGTATTACTGGGCCCATCGAGTCTTCTTGTGAACGTTAAAACTTAATGCTTGAGACGTTGTAAAAAGGACGACCTTAAAGGGGGACGGGGGCGATTCTAAAACCATCCAGAATAAAACAAATTCTTCTTTCACACTAGTGCAAAAAAGACATCTTGCTTTTCTTTAGCTTTTTTCTCTTTTTATAAACCAAGCATGTCATACTAAGGGGGGAGGTGACCATTTTTGGGAGGATTTTCAAAGATGAAAAAACATCTTAAATTTCAGGTGTTGGAGAGGGTGATAGTGATTTTCAATGTAAAAAAAACAAAAATAACAGGGGAGTTTAAGGGGGAGCTAATGGAGGGGTTGGTAGGCAGGATGTGGGCACAGCGCACCGGAGCGATGACATTGAGGCGTCTCCCCCTCAGGACACAGCAGCAGCCTTGGGGATGTGGCTGGAGGACAGGCGTGCGAGGGACACCTCCACTGTGGCGCGTTTACGGGGGCCTCGCTTTGCCGGGGGGGAAGCTTTGGCGGGGCTTAAGTTGACGCACGGGTCCTCTGCTCCCACGCTGACGACGACTGCACCGTTACCGACAACGCTGCCTCCGTTCTTTAACATGGCCCGGCCACACACCTGGTTGACCAAACTGTTGATTTGCTCCTGAACAGAAGAATAAAAAAAGATTAAACTAAAACATTGTTTATCATTGTATTTCAACATTATTCTTCATCACATTGTTTTCTTTAATATTCATGCACAAAATTAATTACAGCATCAACAAAAAAATGCACTGCCATGCTGAGTAATCTGCTTCTTGGGTCTGTGTAAACCTGGCTAATGTCTCCCCCTCCTGGATAGAGAGAGAACTGCAGCAACCAAAGCTGATAAAGAAAAACCAGCACCAGCTCACCTCATCGTATCGGTACATCATCTTCAGGCCTCTGCAGGACTTGTGCTTCTCCACGTAGCGCAGTGCACACTCCAGACAGAAGACAACATTGTCGGTCTCCTGAACCACCTGCACAGACACAAACACAGACAGAAATGACTACATGACTGAGATAGTAGGATTGTTGTAAAATCCTTTCCAGTTTCATCACTTTGACTATGATAGTTTGAGACATAAAGAGCAATAAAATGCAGTTTTTGTAGGGTGAATTGTGAAACTATTATAATAAACAGCAGGAGGACACTTGTAAAAATATGTAAGCTGCATGCTTTTGCAAAAACATTAAATATTTTAGACTTCAAGCTTTCTTAATGGACTTTCTTTGTTTTAGTGCATGACTGAGATAAATTGCTACAACACAGCCAATGAAGCACGATAGCATTTCAACAATATTACTCGGTGCTCGTACCATGGACAGGTAGCAGAGATGCTGACAGATCTGGCAGCGTCTCTCAGAGGACTCCAGTGCCAGCCATTTCCCGCGTGGCTTCTTGCGTCCCTCGACCGGCCCCAGGCTGCCGTCATGGGTGCCGTAGCGGGCCGAGGAGAGCAAACCTGCCTTGTAAAGTTCCTGACGTTGGTGCATCTCTATGTTCCTATTTGACAAAAAAACAATATGCTCATTAAGTGTTCATTTTGAGAATTATACGGCAACATTTTGGTGCTTTTTTTGTTTGTTACTAGGTACTGAGGTAAGTACTGGGTAATCGTAACAGAATCCTACCTGAGGTCTTTGAGTAGGGCGGAGATGGTGGTGAGGAGAAGGCCGTTGTCCCTCTTGGATTCCGCTGTGGCAATCTGATACAGTAGCTTCTCCATGGAGAAGGGTTTAGCAATACGACGACACTTCAGGTCCTGCAAACAGATTCACAACAGATTAAGAATATGATTCATATTAAACCAGTAACTCACTGGTTTATGATGAGGTTAGTAGTGAAAACTCAGAAAGACAACACTAAGTTTTCTAACATCAAAATCTATATAACTCCTTAGATAAATGTTTCTCGTCCTGTTAT